GTGTTTATCTGTATTTATCAGTTTATTTGGGTTTATCAGTTTATTTGTGTTTATCAGTGTTCATCAGTGTGTATCTGTATTTATCAGTTTATTTGTTTATCTGTATTTATCAGTTTATTTGTTTATCTGTATTTATCAGTTTATATGTGTTTATCAGTGTTTATCTGTATTTATCAGTTTATTTGTGTTTATCAGTGCTTATCAGTGTTCATCAGTGTTTATCTGTTTATCTGTATTTATCAGTTTATTTGGGTTTATCTGTGTTTATCAGTTTATTTGTGTTTATCAGTTTATTTGTGTTTATCAGTGTTTATCAGTGTTCATCAGTGTTTATCTGTATTTATCCGTTTATTTGGGTTTATCTGTATTTATCAGTTTATTTGTTTATCAGTGTTCGTCTGTGTTCGTCAGTGTTTATCAGTGTTAATCTGTGTTTATCTGTTTATCTGTGTTTATCAGTGTTAATCAGTGTTCATCTGTTTATCTGTATTTATCGGTGTTTATCTGTATTTATCAGTTTATTTGTTTATCAGTGTTCATCTGTGTTCGTCAGTGTTTATCAGTGTTCATCAGTGTTTATCTGTTTTTCTGTATTTATCTGTGTTTATCAGTGTTAATCTGTGTTCATCTGTTTATCTGTATTTATCGGTGTTTATCTGCTCTCTCAGGTCCAGACGGACGCGCAGCAGGTCGCCTCTGATAAGTTCGTCTTTACTCTGCCGGACTATGAGAAGGTCAATCATGTGGTGGTGTTCATGCTGGGCACGGTGCCCTTCCCAGTGGGCATGGGTGGTGCTGTCTACTTCTCTTTCCCAGACCCTGCTGTCGGACAGGTGTGGCAGCTTTTAGGCTTCATTACCAATGAGAAACCCAGTGCCATATTCAGAATCTCTGGTATGAAAGCTGGTAAGCAAGTCGAGTGAAATCAGTTCTATAAAGGCTGGAAAACACTACATGACTTTTACAGCCACAACAGACATTAAAACACTAGGGTGATTATCATCACATCAAACTCACACAGAAATGTGGTTCAGTGCTGGGAGACACAAATAAAGTCTGTGTCCATCATTCACGTCTGATGTCTGAAATCTGCTTTGACTGGCTCTGATTCTAGCAACTATCGATAATCGACTCGAATCCCTGAAATGGTGTGTTTGTGTGTGTTTGTGTTTGTGTTTGTGTTTGTGTTTGTGTTTGTGTTTGTGTTTGTGTTTGTGTTTGTGTTTGTGTTTGTGTTTGTGTTTGTGTTTGTGTTTGTGTTTGTGTTTGTGTTTGTGTGTGTGTGTGTGTGTGTGTGTGTGTGTTTTAGGTGAGGGTGGAGCTCATCCGTTTGGCATGATGGCCGTCCCTCAGGCTCCGTCAGTGGCTCAGGTTGGAGTTTCTATTGAATCTTTGGACCTGCTTGCACAACAAACACCAGTCTCTACTTCAGCTGTCTCCAAAGTGGACTCCTTCACACAGGTAACACATACCTCATCATAACTTATCAGCCACCTTACTTATCTTTTGGGTCTTCAGTCTTTTCAGAGTGGATCTTCTGTTCGTAGTAGTGATGAACGATTTTTAGATTACATATCACACCCTAATAAATGCAAAGTTTTTGTGGATAAAAATGATCTAAATTTATGTTTATATTTGAAAGACAATTTAAGGCATGAAGTAATATTATAACATTATAACAGTGACATTTATCAAATGGATAGTTCCAGTCTTGGCCACTGATTAAATATAAGCTAAAATACAGACCTGGCAGATTGTGGCACTGCTTGTTGATATCAGTCGTACTAAAGGCGTTGTTTTATTTGCGCTTTTCCAATTTCTTTCACACTTCTGTGTGGTCACGTGTGGTTTGAAGGGTCAAGACTGCAGTGACTGGCTCACAGAGCCCTGTTAATATCACTGTGAGATCAGGAACTCTCCTGCGGCTGCTTATTAACTCTTTGTTGTCATTTTCACAGTTCACGCAGAAGATGCTGGAGAGCCTGTACAACTTCACCTCGTCTTTTGCGCTGTCCCAGTCGCAGATGACACCGAACCCTTCAGAGATGTTTGTTCCTGCGAGCTCCATCCTCAAATGGTGAGTGATGTTTTAAGGCGAAGCGTCATGCCAGCGAATGAGTGTTTGTGTTTAGAGTCATTGTTCTGTCCTCCTCACAGGTATGAAAACTTTCAGAGGCGAATGATGCAGAATCCAAACTTCTGGAAGACGTGACTTACTGCCGTTGTGTTTTTAACAGTTTGATCCACTACTTTATGAAGAACAATTTATTTCATTTAATATTCAGTTTTAATTTCCATGCAGAGTTTCACGTGGTCAAGGAAATTTTTCTCATGAATATTGCCTGGCACATCATTCATTTATTTGCTGAAAATGTTTTATATAACGTGCTGAAGTCATAGTAAATAAAATCTTTTGTCGATAAATTTTATTAGTCATGTTTATTTTTTCCATGATTTACAGAAATGTGTATCTCAGTGTTTCAGTGAACAGCTTCACAGGAAAATGCTTTAATGTCAGAAAACCCTCTGTAAGATGTTCAGGAGCCCATCCTCCTCTGGCAGCAAATGCATGTCCAAATAACATTAATATTTAACTCTCTGATAAGTGGATTGTCTTTTATTGAACAAGCCAAATGATGCAGTCCTCGAATGCGTTAGCAAGGCAATGGTTACAGCTTCAGAGCATACGGATAAAGGTTGACAATTTTAGTGCATTCATGATTGACTGAAAAAAAAAAAACTCACAAAATGATTATCATCATCATCTATTCTAGACCGGGCAGATTCTATTCTATTCTTTCTTTCAACTTAAATTTGTAATGCAATCTGATATTTGTAGGTACCCTGGTGAATTCAGTCTGAGCAGACACATAAGTTCTGTAGCCTCGAGTGCTGAAGGTGCTTCAAGATTCACACCGAATAACACATGAATAAAAGTTCTATTTTAAGGCAGCAACAGCTGAATATTATGTTTGAATAGTGATTTCACAGTAAATTATTTATTGTAGTAATGAGTATCAGTATTTACTGTAGTAAGGTGTATCAGTATTATCTATAGTAGTGTGTATCAGTATTATCTATAGTCATGTGTATCAGTATTATCTATAGTAGTGTGTATCAGTATTTACTGTAGTAACAGTGTATGTATCAGTATTATCTGTAGTAATGGGTATCTTTATTTACTGTAGTATCGGTATTATCTATAGTAACGTATCTTTATTTACTGTAGTAACCCTTATCTTTATTTACTGTAGTAACGTATATCAGTATTATCTGTAGTAAGGAGTATCTTTATTTACTGTAGTATCAGTATTTTCTGTAGTATCAGTATTATCTATAGTAACATATCTGGTTACACTTTACTTGAAGGGGTGTGCATAAGACTGACATGACACCTTCATAATCATGACATGACACCTACTTAATCATGACATGACACATGTCATGAATATGAAGGTTTTTTTATGCATGTTTATGACAACTGTCATTAAGTGTCATTCGCTCAGTTATGTAATTTTTAATGCAAAGATGACATTGTTTGAGATGTCTTTGTTATGGGCTATGGTAAGGGTAGGGTTAGGTTAGGGTTAGGTCAAATAATGTCATATTTGCATTAAAAATTACATAACTGAGCGAATGACACTTAATGACAGTTGTCATAAACATGCATAAAACCTCCTTCATATTCATGACGTGTCATGTCATGATTATGAAGGTGCCATGTCAGTCTTATGCACACCCCTTCAAGTAAAGTGTTACCACGTATCTTTATTTGCTGTGGTAACGTGTATCAGTATTATCTATAGTAACGTGTATCTTTATTTATTGTAGTATGTGTATCAATATTATCTGTAGTAATGTGTATCTTTATTTACTGTAGTAACATGTATCAGTATTATCTGTTGTAATAAGTATCAGTATTATCTATAGTAACATGTATCTTTATTTACTCTAGTAAGGTGTATTAATATTATCTGTAGTAATGAGTATCAGTATTATCTATAGTAACGTATCTTTATTTACTGTAGTAACCCTTATCTTTATTTACTGTAGTAACGTGTATCAGTATTATCTATAGTAATGTGTATCAGTATTATCTGTAGTAACGTGTATCTTTATTTATTGTAGTAATGTGTATCAGTATTATCTGTAGTAACGTGTATCTTTATTTATTGTAGTAATGTGTATCAGTATTATCTGTAGTAACGTGTATCTTTATTTACTGTAGTAACGTGTATCAGTATTATCTGTAGTAACGAGTATCAGTATTATCTATAGTAATGTGTATCTTTATTTATTGTAGTGTGTATCAGTATTATCTGTAGTAAGGAGTGTCTTCATTTACTGTAGTAATGTGTAGTGTATCAGTTTTGTCTGTAGTAACGTGTATCTTTATTTACTGTAGTAACATTTATCTGTATTATCTGTAGTAACTAGTATCAGTATTATCTATAGTAACGTATATCTTTATTTACTGTAGTAACATTTATCGGTATTATCTGTAGTAACTAGTATCAGTATTATCTATAGTAAAGTATATATTTACTGTAGTAACATGTATCAGTATTGTCTAGTAACATGTATCTTTATTTACTGTAGTAAGGAGTATCAGTATTATCTATAGTAACGTGTATATTTACTATAGTAACATCAGTATTATCTGTAGTAAGGAGTATCAGTGTTATCTATAGTAACGTGTATCTTTATTTACTGTAGTAATGTGTATCAGTATTATCTGTATTTAGGAATGTCTTTATTTACTGTAGTATCAGTATTTCCTGTAGTAACGCCGTTGGGAGGCGCGTCTATAGCAACCGATTTGCAGACACGAGCACAAAGCGATGCATCTGTACTTTTGTTAGCTGTAGCACCGGTTATTCTGGACCTGTGTACACTAATGTACTAAGGAGTTATTAAACTGAAGTGTTTGCTTGCAGATTTTTGTCATGCTTCAAATCCCAATGTCAGAATATGAGCGCAAACATCTGTCGACACTTTCGAGACTTTCTGACGACGGTAAGTGACATTCTAACTAATCAGAACTACTGGATTAACCATAACTAATGTCTGAGATACAAACACACGTCTGCATCGAGCATGCCAGTCATATTTCTCGCGTCTGTCTGTTTCATTCCCCACAGATATCTATCATATTTGGTCGCTCGTGTCGTGTTTTATTAAGCAACAGATGTTCATGCGAAAGGTGCGAATGTGCATGCTTAGGCTCTTCTGTTCCTCATCTATTATGCTCGTTGTTTTTCTGTTTGTAAACGTGAATAATAGCGTGTTCATTCGGTTGTGGTGTGTTTTAGGGGGTTTATATCTTCGGTTTAGGGACTTTCACGTTCTGCCAGCAGAAACTCAACTTCGGGAACAAACATATTCTCATACAGAGACCTGTTTTCATCCTGGCAGAGAAACTCTCTCATTATTATGGATTTAAACAGATCAAACCACAGGCTACAGGTCAGAACAATCATTTTTGTTAATTTATGTACATTTACACAGAAGATGGACATTGTTGGCTGAATTAGATTTTCATGATCCACACCTGATCTAAAGGTTTCTCAGCTGTGTCACAGATGTCATGAAAGCTACTGTTGATCAGACTCTGGTGTCTCCTCAGACGTGCCGGTGGGGCCGCTCAACTTCTCGGCCCTGAGCGCCGAGGGCCCGTTCCAGCGAGACGCAGTGGAGAGATGCGTGCGAGAAACCCTTCACCTGCTGCTCCGCGCCGCAGCCACTCGACCGTCTGTCTCGCACGCTTTCCCTGGGATCGGAGTCCTGACTTTCCGACAAAGCCGAGTCAAGATGCTGTTCTGCCGTGACTTCATCTCAGCCTTAGACGGCACTGGGAAACTTTCCTCAGCTTCAGCCAGCGTCAGTCACAGCGAGCGAGACTTCAGTGTGTTTGAACCTGCTGGAATCTGTTTAATTAGACTCTGTTGATTTGCAGAGACCGGAGTCGAGGAACTCTAGAGAATCTGAGCGACGCTGCAATGTGCCGCGACCTGCGACCTTCAGCGGCGCCACGCTTCCCAGAATATCAGCAGGAGAAGCTCTGAGAAAACAGCTGCAGACTGATGAAGATGATGATGATGGTGGATGGGGTTTGTCATGAGGAGATCTGGGCTCACGCTGACAGTTTGAGGAAATATGGTAGCTCTGTACTGTTCTGTGTTAGACTCACTCTCATCTCATTATATCTGCAACAGAGAAGCGTCAGCCAGCGGACAGAGCGACTGCGACTGACCTCACAGACGGGATGGAGGACAAACGTCCAGCAAATGCTGACAGGTAGATTCCAGCAGAAGATGATGAAGAATCAGCTGGCCCAGCATGAATTATAAATATTGTCATCATAACCACTGAATCAAAAACATACATTTAAATTTAAATACATTCCTTATCATCACAGAAATAGTTCAGTCTTGGTTAAAAATCCTACTGGGTAGGAAACCAGTTAAAAAAAATGTCCTCATGAGGTGATTTGTGTTGCTTAACAGCATCTGATGACAGAAAGGTGCTCAGATTATCACATGACCCTCTCAAAGACGCTCAGAACAGAGGCGTTGTGTTACGGTGAACTCTGTGTGTGTCATCAGACCATTGAAACACTCGAGCCCTGCAGGAGAAAGTTGTTTAGTTGTGACGTAAGACCGGTTTGTGTGACTGAAACGTGAGCTTTACCCAGCAGTGAATGCAGTCTGTCAGCACGGCTCATCTCGCTTTAAACTTGCATCACCGCCTGTGACTGAACACACTGAGTTTCAGATTTGGGTTTAAAAAATAATGTTTCCTTTATTTGGCCTGGCGGTCTTATGGTAAAATTCTTATGATAATATAGTAATCTTCTATCATTAATAATCTGTTAACAGTGTTGGGGGTAACGCATTACAAGTAACGCGAGTTACATAATCAGATTACTTTTTTCAAGTAACTACTAAAGTAACGCATTACTTTTTAATTTAGAAGAAAATATCTGAGTTACTTTTTCAAAAAAGTAACGCCAGTTACTTTGTTTTCCCATGTATTGACTGACAGCTCCCCTGTCCCCGTGTTGGGAGAAATCAGAAGTGCAGAGGCGTTGTGTGCGCTGTGTGAACGTGATGCTACTGTAGTTCTAGACTAAATGTGAATGTGCATTAATTCATCCCACTCACAAAAAAAAAACAGATTTAGTATTAATCAAAATGAATTAAAACAGTGAACTGCAAACTCAGTATTCATTACACTTTTTGGTGTGAAAGGGCTTTTATATTTGCTATAAATAGAACTTCTTATATTCAAAACAATCAAGCCAAAAAAGTAACGCAAAAGTAATGTAACGCATTGAACTAACTAACTAAGTAACGTCATTAGTTACTTTTTTAGGGAGTAATGCAACATTGTAATACTTTACTTTTAAAAGTAACTTTCCCCAACACTGGTTACTGAGTCACTGTAACTGCGTTCTGGACTTATTTAATTGTATCAGCCAGCAGACATTTACACATTTACATTTAGTCATTTAGCAGACGCTTTTATCCAAAGCGACTTACAAAAGACAGACTCAGTGGCTCTGTGTCGGCCGCTCTGCTAACAGTTTCTGTGTGTAACTGTTTCTAAATGAAGAATAGATGAGTGTTAGATTAGCAGGACAAATCTGAGACTTTCTGTTTGTCATGAACACAGAGGCGTCTCTCTCAGCATCGCGACAGTAAAGAGCAGCGCTGCAGATGCGAGTCTGGACCGAGCGTGCCGTGACCACAGACGGGCCGGACAGGTGAGCCTTCATCACGTCTGTGCTCTCTCTTCCAGCTCGTGATATCAGCTCAGGCTTGTTGATGTGCGTCGCAGGAGCTGTGTTACGTCTGCATGCAGCGAGCGCAGAGAACCCTTCCTTTATACCAGTCTGATGAGAGCAGAGCTGAGCGCGAGCAAGAACGAGTGTTAATGCTTCAAGAACATCAGAAAGACCTAAAGTATTTCCAGAGAGAAGAGGTGCCCGAGCACACTCATTTACTGAACGCCTAATTTCAATAGGAATATCACATTAAATTCATTGCTGTTAATAGCGTTCACCGTCTGTTTGACTGTACGTTTCTGGCATATGGACATCAACTTAACAGACACCACACTGCAAAAAAGGCTTATCTTAGTATTTTTGTTTTAAGAATATTTTACCCCACTGGCAGATCATTTTATTTATTTTAAGCAAAATGCACTTCATTTAGTTTCTTTCCCCTGGAAACAAGACTAAATAAATATCTTGCGTCATTTTGCTTATCTAGTAAATGCATCTTAATTTAAGTATTTTTAGATATTTTGACTAGAAACAAGACAAAAATACTAAGTTAGATAAGCCTTTTTTGCAGTGCACTGATGAGCTACTACTAAATATAATATAGAAACTTAAATTTTCTGTAAAGCTGCTTTGCAATGATTTGTATCGTGAAAAGCACTATACAAATACACTTGAACTGAATTGAATTAAACTACTATAAAACTGTCTTGGACCGTTCCATCACTGACAGATGGACAGACAGAAGAAGCGGGAGGACAGTCAGAAGCTGGCTGCGTTTAATCTGGCCGCTGCAGAAGCTCAGAGACGCAGGAAAGCGCAGGCATACAGCCAATCAGACGTGAGTCTCAACGCCGTTCAGGCTTCAGCTGGATCTGTTTAATTGTTTTTCTGGTCATTTGACGCATGGCCTTTTAGGGCTCGTACATCTTCGTGGGTCGAGCCTGCAGCGCAGACCATCTGCCGCAGCAGAGATGCTACATGCAGGAGTCAGCCAGACGCAGCCAGATGCAGACGGAGCTGATGCAGACGGAGCTGATGCAGGAGGCAGACAGACGCAGACAGACGCAGACGGACAGACTGCATCTGCTGCAGCTCTCTGAAGAGTGAGCATCTCATCGCAGCGCTGTGTGAACGTGTTTAAGATGATGGTGTGATTGTTTCTGCTTGTTTTGTGATGTTTGCATCAGGATTGCATTAGAAAAATCTCAGCAGCTTCATGAGAAACACGAGACGGCCAAGAAGTACCGAAAGGCACTTGAAGCACAAGTGAGTGACTTTCGTTCGTTTCCCGTTTGGGATCAGTTGGGTCAATTACATTTTACATTTACATTTAGTCATTTTGCAGACGCTTTTATCCAAAGCGACTTACAATTGGGGAATACATAAAGTGATTCTTCTTAAAGAGGCAAACAGAGACAGGAAGTGCTCGCAATACCAAGTTTCAGGTATTGTTTAAATCAGTACAAGCTAGAAAGGGAAGGAATAAATAAAGAGAAAGACAACATTTTTATTTTTATTTAGGATGAAGTCAAGTAGCGTCGAAAGAGATGAGTTCTCAGCTGTCGCTTGAAAATTGTCAGGGATTCAGCATTCCGTATAGCGGTGGGAACATCATTCCACCAGCCAGGAACGTGATTTTGAGCCTTGAGAAAGGACAAGGGCCTGGACAAGAAGTTGTGCAGCATGCTCCGTTAGAAAGGGCCTGATCTTTCTGATGTTGTGGAATGCAAACCTGCAAGACCAAGCAGTCTTTGCAATGTGGTCTTTGAAGGTCAATTGGTCATCAAAGATTACACAAAGATTTCTGACCGACGTTGATGGGGTAATTGTAGAAGAACCTAGCTGGATGGTGAAATCATGCTGTAGAGTTAGAGTGGCAGGGAAGACAAGAAGCTCAGTCTTTGCCAGGTTGAGCTGTAGGTGATGTTCTTTCATCCGTGCCGAGATGTCCGCCAGGCAGCCTGAGATCCGTGTAGCTACTGTTGGATCATCTGGTTGAAATGAGAGATAGAGCTGTGTGTCATCAGCATAGCAATGGTAGAAGAAGCCATGTGTCTGTATGATGGGACACAGTGATGTAGTGTATATGGAGAAGAGGAGCGGTCCTAGAACTGATCCCTGAGGAACCCCAGTGACCAGTTGATGAGCTTTGGATACACAATTATGGGTCTTTATCTCATAAATGAAGCAGCGCTGCATGTTTGGCACAAGATTTATGTCATAAATCTATAGACATGCGGATGATTCTTAATGCTCTGATTTAGGATATCTCAAGCTTTTTTCCACACAGTTTTGAATTTGATATTTATTTGTGTATTGAATTATCTCACTCTTAAGTTGTTTCAAAGCAGCTTTACAGAAAATTGTGCCTTAATGTGTTAAAGCACCTGGTGAGAAAAAAAAGCCGTAAGATATTTAGATCAGACCTCCTCGTCCTCCTCTGGATCAGTGAACTGATGCTAAATATGATGTACTTACACAGTCTGTGTTATACCAGTCGTGATTGAGCTTTCAGTGTGTTTAACTGTATGGATAATATCAGCAAATCAGATCAGTGACGTTCTCTCTGGATCATAAACACACAGCAGCAGTGATCAGGACTGATTCGGCCTTTCATATGTTGTTCTGAGTGTGGAAGCACGTTGTTAAGTGCATTAAGGCTCACTGTCCTTAATATGGCTTTAATATGCATTTCTGTAGCTCAGACAGTAAGATCCCAGGGTTTGAGACCATGAACTGATAAAACGCGACAGCTTTGTTTCTATCAAAAACTTCCAGAGTGTTTCATTCTCTTGAAATCATTGTCATAAACAGTAATATATCAGTAATATATAATGTTTTTCTGTCTGTTTGCGTTTAGACGGATCGCCGCTGTTCAGAAATCTCTCCGCGTTTCGACGCGCGGCCCATGTTTGGACTGATGGACTCCAGTCCGGCGGCTTTAGCGGAGCAGAGACGGAGAGCGCAGAACATCTCTGAAGAGCTGATGAATACAGCCAACCAGAGGAGGAGAGAAACGCTGGAGAAACGCTTGAACGAGCAGAAGAGAGAAAGAGAAATGATGCAGAGAGACCTCAAAGAGTGAGTAACAAAACCAGCAAACAAGCATTAATCCTAAAGAGAAGAATGAGTTCTTGTTGTCTGGGCCTGATGTGCATGTGTCAGATCACAGTCGGATGGTTTGAGTGGAATGAATAATGTCTCTTTCGCAGAATGTTAGACGAGCGAATCCGTCGTTACGAGAAGCTGTGTCTCCTGCGGGCCGCGTGCGAGGAGAACTGGCACCGCAGCGCTGACCTCAAACACCAGCGAGACCGAGAGGGACTCAACAGCAGGAGGTACAGGAACAAACTGATGATTAGTTAAATGTATAGATGGAATAACGAGAGAAAAACAGAGAGGTCATGATGAGCGATCGCAGGACGTCAGAGCCAGAGTTTCTGTAATCCTGATGATGTTTCTGCTGTCTCCTTCAGGTTCGGTGGTCAAACTCTGACAGAACAACTGGGAAAATATGAGCGATGTAGTCAATGCAAACGCAGCACCGCCAACCGCGGCGAGAGCAACGTCTTCAGAGACACGAGTTATGTGACTGGAGCTCGACTGATGCTGTAGACCTCGGATTTCAACCCAGATAATAAAGATGAGCAAAATAAGTGTATGCTTCCTCATCCACATTTACAGCAAACTGAGAGCATCTGCTGTGTTCATTTGGCATCGTTTACACAGAGATGAATCACATTGTGTTTATTCTTCAGCACTGATCTCATCACAGCTGCATTTCAACATCAGCGAAGATGAAGAATGTGACGCGAATGTGCAGATGCAGATTTTGTTCTTATTTGATATGTTTTGAGCAGAACTTTAAATGCGCCTTCAGCCGTAGAACATGATATTGAGATATTTTGATATTCATAGATCCACAAACGCTTTGTTCTCTGTTTGCAGAATTTTCTCAGAAAATTAATTCTTTGGAAAGAGATGAAAGTTTTCTGCATGTGATTCATCAGTATAAAAGACGTGGTGGAGAATGTGCCATGATGCTCCATTAGTTCATATTTAACAACATATAATGTTCTTGCATCATGACCAGTGCACACCTTAGATGCGATTCAGTGTTTAACGTTGATGCTGTGAGCTTTCATATGCACCAATGTCTATTTAGACTCTGAAGAATGTTTGCATGTGATCAAATGCTTTAAATTATTAAAGTTTCTTATTTTACACGCAGAATGTGTCTGTTAGGAGCCGTCAGTGCAGCAAATGCAGAAATGGACACCAGGTGGGGCTTCAATGTCAAAAACACAACTGACTTCATTCAGCTTCCACAGCCAAAACCACATCAGAGCGACAAACTCCGACAGCGATCGAGAGTGCTTTACACACAGAGCAGAAGACACTGAGATTGAGAGTATTTTGCAATCATGGCCTCACATTTACTGTACATCTGTGCTAAAAGTGAATGAAGCCCAAAGGAGCAAAGTTAAATTCACGCATAATACACAGTCAAGCAAACGTACAAAAACAAATAGTCTTCACTTCACTGAGTGTATGTTCATAACGCTCTGCTGAGAGCAAATGATGGAAATACAGAGTGAATATGAGAGCGTGTGGACAGCTATTCCATTTTCCCAAGACACCAGATCAAATTGATATTCCACATTTATTGAGCAACACATCAGCCAGAGTCAGTTCCTGATTCCAGATGTTCAAAACACACTGAAGAAGCCAGCAAACCAACAAACCACAGAACCGCTTCTGCACTAAACATATAGCACTCAAACAATCCCTCGTGAATTATTTTCTCTTGATATTTTGTATTTGGTCTAGTGTTGCTTTAAATCTAACACTGCATCTTCAGGGTGTTTTTGACAGACAGTGAAGCAGGACAGACGCAGAGAGACGTGACAACCTCATCATACTGTTATCTCAGTCCAAAAACACAGAAGAGAGACGAGATGCGTCCGCAGACGTACAGCTGCTAATGCGACATCCGGCTCTCGTGAGCAGGATAGAGTCCAGCCTACAAGACAATAAAAGTCATCTCAAAGAGGTCAGAGGTCACGGCACACATTCTGTTCACATGTGATTTTATGAACCACAGGGGACAGAAGTGACTCATGAAGCTCAGTGAGGCTGAGGAGAAACACACACACACACACAGGTTTGAGTCATCAGTAAACAAACACATTTTCCAAACCACACGGACTTGAGTATAACACACACACACACACACACACGCACTCACTCTCACACACACACACACACACTCACACATGTCTGGTTTGCTATCCTTGTAGAGACTCTCCATAGGCGTAATGCTTTTTATACTGTACAGACCGTATTTTCTATTGCCCTACACCTAAACCTACCCCTTACAGGAAACTTTCTACATTTTTAGATTTTCAAAAAACTTCATTCTGTGTGATTTATTAGCTTGTTTACCCGTGGGGACCTCAATTTAGGTCCCCACCATGACACGAGTCCCCATGAGTGTGTGTATTCAGGTTTAAGTCCCCACCACTCTCGCACACACACAACACAAATCACACAGACACACAGACACTCACTCACTCACTCACACACACACACACAGGTTTGAGTCATCAGCAAACAAACACATTTTCCAAACCACACGGACTCACCCACACACACACAGACACTCAGTCACTCACACACACACACACAGACACAGACACACACACACAGACACAGACACACACACACAGGTTT